TGCTTAGTCATGTTTCAGGTGCGTTCCCATGTAGGCGGAAAATGCCTGTTTTATTCTCAGACCGAGGAATTAAATCTCATGCAGAGTCAAAATGATCAGGGCTTTGATTGTATTATTACCAGCACTAGTATAAACAAGTCCTTTAAGGCTCTTCAGAGTGTTCTTGTCTGTGTGACTTGGCTGCTGTTCTTGCGTTCAGAGCACTGTGTAAAATAAACAGACTTCAAAAAGAGTGTTCTTTACAAATAATATCGAACACGTGATCCATCTTTTCTTCTTTCTGTTTAGGTGTCGACCTGGACAAAACAGTACAGAGCTTCGGCCCACAGGAGCATTCCAGCTATGGACGAGCTTTCTGATTGGCTGAGCAACAACTTGCCGTCCGGTGATAACGAAGTGACTCTTGTTCATGGTGACTTTCGAATTGACAACCTGATATTCCATCCGACAGAGGTACGGCTCAGTTATCAGACATGTGTGTGGCTGTTTAATAGGGATGCAGTGGTACACGGTGTGTTATCGAACCGTTTGGTACGCCCCCTGCAGTTCTGCTGCGGGTTTTTAAAGCTCTAAATGACCTTAAAGCTCCTGAGTGTCTGTTTATGATCTCAGATCTGCAGATTCTGACCTTCTGAACTCCTTCAGTAAAACACAGAAAACGTGGAGAGACTCTTTCAGTTATTCTGCTCCTAAACTGTGGAGCTCAGTTCAGCTTTTATTAGACAGTCGAGCTCAGAGCTCACTTTTAATAAACATCTGAAAACGCAGCTCTTTAACTCAGCGCTTCAGTAAAACTCTACAGCTCTTTGTGTTTATCTCTCTAATCTGATCTGAGTTATTGTCTTATATGACTTTAAATTAATACTCACTGTTCTCTGTTACTGTTAAGCTTTATCAGCTGTCTGTTAAGCACTTTGAGCTGCCACCAGTAGGAAAAGTGCTCTATAAATAAAGATGTAATTATTGTTGTTATTCAATACTCACACGTGAACCGTGGTGTTACATAATGCTTGTGACTACACACTGTACATTCGTGACCACAACACATCTCTGGAGCTGATCAGAATCCCCTGCAGCCAGTCAGCGCTCCGTATGCAGATACGAGCTGGAGAAGAGAGGAGGAGCTACAAACAAACCATCCCTCAGCTCCAGCAGGACGATGGCGAGCTCTAGCGATGCTGAGAGAGGTTAATCAGTTTACCTATCTCTACACTGACTGGCTGTTTTCAGGCTGAAAGATATGAGCTGAAAAAGGCTGGGCTAGTAACGGTAGCTGAGATCATCTTTTTGGACGCTGCAGACCGGACGAGCTGCGTCGTGTTGTCCAGCGTCCAAAAAGATTTAACCATTCAAGCCTGAAAACAGCCAGTCTGTGTAGAGACAGGTAAGCTGATGCCAAGTGTGATAAGAGATGCTGAACGCTTTATTTCATTCAGTTTATATGAGCAGAGTATAAAAATGAACTGGAACCTGGTTTATCTGCTCTCCAAGCCGGTGTTCTGTAGCAGCGCTCTGCTACGCAGCATGGCGTGTCTGGTGTGCGGTGGGCTTTATGATGTGCCCTCCCGCACACATTTCAGCAGCAAAGTAAGTCCTGAGTTCTGTGAAACGTCATATAGAGGAACTGAAAGCAATTCAAACAGACACCACACCCACCTCTCCTTAGTTAATCAACATAGAGAAGGCCAAACACCTGCAGGCTGTCAGAGTAGCAGAGACAGAAACCAGGCCTCATCATCTCGCTGCTGCTTTTCTGAATGGAAAGTTTTATTGGTCTACAGGAAAATAAAGAGTTCAGTGTTTAAAGTGTTTTTTTTCTTAAATATAAAGGCACTAAAGCTGCACTGTTACCGTGGCCCAAAAACCATGATACATCCCAAACCGTGGGTCCAATGGACCGCTGCATCCACTGTTTAACTACATAAGATCTATAGAGAGTTGTTGACATACAGTAGTGGTCAGTGGGCTGCATTTAAGAACCAAAAGTTCTTAAATTAGAAGCAGAATAGGCCCTGAATTGGGACTTTACTGGCTTTCCCCTTTATTTGAAAGCCTGAATGCCTGTTTGCAAATTGTTGTTGGAGTTTTGTAGATTAGAAACTGTCAAAAAGTCAAAGTGATTTAAAAGGAAACTCCAAAATGTAAGCCTTAACCAATCTACTCGCCTCTCACGGTCGTGCAGCGGAAGTCTCTAAAGCAAACTTTTTGGTTTAAAGTCTTGAAAAATCCCATTTTCATGGTGTATCGTGAAGGTGGAAGGAAGACAAGTGGTTTGTGGGGGATATTTGGGTACAGGCTTTTTAAAACGTGAATTATTGTGCGAAGAAAGACGTTTGATGAACAGTTGAGGTTAGTGTGACTCTAAGTCAGAGGCTAGCAGCCGAGATTTGTTGAGCATCGCAGGGATTCAAGATAGTTTTATGATGTGTGTGCGCAGTGCATGCTGGGTATCGTAGTAAGAGAACACTGATGAAAATGTGAAAATAATGCAAAATCATGAATTCTGTCAAACACATGAATCTGAGGGGCTACATAACATAACATTACCTGCCCCTTTAATCTGAGTGCTGCACCGGCGTCTCCCTGCACACCTGGATCTGATTAATAGCTGATGCCCTGAAATAAACCAGTGAAAAGTGGCTCATGTTCCTTTGATAAAGTCTTTAATGCAGGTGTTTTTGATTTTTATCTGTGTATTTGTGTTTGTTTTTCTCTCAACACACTGTCTGAATGACACGCTCTGTTTGTTTTTATTGTTGTTGTTATTAATATGTCGTTTCCTGATCATGTCCTCCTGTTTTCTGTGCAGGCACGAGTGCTGGCCGTACTGGATTGGGAGCTGTCTACGACTGGTCAGCCTACCGCTGACCTGGGCTACTTCCTCATGCCCCATTACTGCCCCTCCCACCACGGGGTCATCAGCACTCTGGGCGGAGTTACAGAAATACAGGGTGACTTTTACTTTTACTCCACTTAGTCTGACCAACCATAACTGATCTCGTCCAGTTATATATATATATATATATGACAGCTGTGCTTTTGTTTATATTTAGTTTTTCTTATTCTGTGTAGATTTGATTTGTGATGACGGTGGCTGAGGACACTATTTGACTATGTTTTATTGATCTTACTGTGTTTTTGCGACACATCATGACCTCTTTCGAAAGCACAGATGCTCTGATGTCCATATATGCCACATAGAAATGTCCTTATTTATGTTTTTTGCTGCCGACGCAGAGTCCTGATCTGATCTGTGTGTTTTCATAGGCAGTACAGCTGCACAGTGCACACTTTCAGCGTAAAGTTGCACAACCTGTTACTTCAAAATGCTGCACTAAAATCACTTCATGTTTAGTTTGGGCTCTCAAACTGCCGCTTAGCTTCATAAGACTCACCACAAATTTACAGTTTATCCTTAAATCTAGTTTGCAGATATTTTTTAATAATAATTAATTTCCTACAACTAAATATTCACATCTGATGGGTGGATTTGCTTCACTCATCAGACACTGGCAGGTTTTTGTAATTAGGGTTATAATTTACCTCTAATTTAATTAGCTATTATTGTAATTTAAACCACTCCGGTTTCCTCCCACAGTCCAAAAACATGCAGTCAGGCTGATTGGACATGCTGAATTGCCCCTAGGTGTGAGTGTGTGTGTGAATGTGTCTGTCTGTCTGCCCTGTGATGGACTGGCGACCTGTCCAGGGTGTATCCTGCCTTCCACCGAATGACAGCTGGGATAGGCTCCAGCACCCCACCGTGACCCAGAAGGATAAGCGGTTTAGATGATGTTAATTGAACTTGATGTAATTGAACAGTAAAATATTTATTAAATATATTCATTTATGCTACTCCAACTACTACTATGAATGCTACTATTAACGACAATAATATTAATATTAAGTATTATTATAATCATAATTGTGATGTTTTTATTGTTGTTGTTATTAGTGGAAGTTGTTATTTACAGAAGAATTGCTAATAAACAGCTATGTTGTGCTTAAATGAGTATTATATATACGTTATGTAACTGAAATTCGTAGAACGTTCAGTAAAATGTCAGATGAGAAATTTTATGTTGTTAAATTCATACTGAAAAAGGTGAGAAGACCACCTGGCCAATGGCTGCCAGGCATTTTGAGTTTAAGTCCCTTATTCTATTATAATTTGTTTATTATTTATTCCACTAGTTTCTCAAATTTGCTACATAATGCAATAGTTGAGATGTAAACAGAGAGATTCAGAGTGGTTTGGTGTGAAATGGTTCAGATGTCTTTACAGTGGTGGTGATAGGAACCAGGGGTCGCCATGACTACAACACAGATATAGACATTTTATTTACTATCCAGAACCACCAGAGAACCTACACGAGTCTTCTGAGTTTATATGGAATATTGATGGAAAATAGGCAGAAATCCAAAAAACAAAAAGTTTTTTGGTTTTTTTTGCCCCACAGTTCTTTTTATGTACATCTCAGCCAGGAACGGGTTTTAAAAATATATTTTATACACTTACAAAGATGGTTCTTCAAGGGTTCTTTAGTAAAGATAATGGCTCTATAGGTTCTATATTTTTCTATTTTGAAAAAGATTCTATGTAGCGCCAAAAGGGTTCTTCTATTGTTACGATGTCTACACAGAACCTTCTACAGCACGTTAACCATCAATCTGAAGAACGCTTTCACGATGCTAAGAACCCTTTAATCATGCAAAGGGTTCTTTGAGCGTTCATAGTTCTACATAGAACCATTTTCTTTACCAAAGAACCCATTTTTAAGTGTGTAGATCAAAGGCTTTAGTGCCTTTGGTGTCGTTTAAGAGTGGTTGGATAAAGGCAGCTATATTAAGTCAAAGCTGAAGGTTTTACGAGTGGCTGCTGTGCCGTTGTTTTTATTTTCCATATGTTGCATTTCTCTGCCACTATTTGAGGATAATCCCTGTTTATGTCACCTCTATGACAATGAGACGCAGCTACTCTCAGATCAGATTGGAACGTCACTTCTTCCACGGTGGTGGAACACGCTTCTTCATGTGCCGTTTTGGCTGTTTGTCATCCAGGAATGTGAGAGTTCTGAGATCCTCGATCTTCATGGCTCTGCTCCTCTATTCATTCTGTTTCTGCAGGCATCCCCCCTCCAGACGACCTGATCTCCATCTACTGCCGCTGCCGTGGGATCCCTCCATCTCTTCCGCATCAGAATTTCTTCATCGCACTCGCCATGTTCAAAATGGCCTGCATCGCGCAGGTACGTTATCTTCAAACAGCAGCTCTGCTTTGTGCCAGATAAGATCAAATGAAGGCGGTGATTCGTGACCGCCATCGCCCTGCTGGTCCGTTTCTGGGGCAGCTCTCTTTCCTGTTGACTTTCGTCGAGGTGAACCCCACCCTCCCCTCCGGGTTTGAAAGGGCACGCATGTATTCAGAATTGATTATGGATCTCTTTACCAAGAATCCACCTCAAAAGAAGTGCTCAGATCTCAATCATGAGTGAGGGATTCCTTTTATCCAGCTCTTCATCTGAAAATCAGTGTTCTGTATCTGTGCCTTTACTGAACCGCGCCTCGTCTCGCTCTCTCTGCTCTCTTTCCTGTGTGCAGGGGATCTACGCGAGGTTTTTGCTGGGGAATGCCAGCGCGCCGGACGCTGCTCGGTATGGAGAGACGGTGGAGCCTTTAGCTCAGTTGGCCCTGAACATCGCACACAGGTCACTGTCACACTCACAGCAGCAACTTAGACCAGGGGCATATTTCACAAAGCAGGATTTCCCAGCTGGCCAGATAGATTAAGCCAAAGGGCAAAACTATCTGATGGGAGGAGAGGCCAGAAACATTCCTACAGAACAGTCCAACTTTGGCTTAAGTTCAGCCTTGGGTTCACTACATGACTGTTAAAGTCCTAAAAGATTGTAGAAGACTGGGCGTCTCACACTGTCAGACTGGTTCTGCTTTTTTTGCTTTACTTTTTTGGGTAACTGAAATATTGGGGATCCACACTAAACGAATAGGGACCACACACTACTCAACGGAACTGACTGAACTTGCGTGAAGTCATGTTCTCCAGTGAGTGACTTTTTTCCTTTTTTCTCCATTTGTCTTTGTTTCCTTGCTGTATTTACTTCTTTCTCACTCTGTTTTCATTGGCTGCTGCAGGAATCTGTTCAGATTGAGTCGTTGATCAGTTGACACCAGATTCGGGTCAAAAAAATCAAACGTTTAATAAACTCTGACCGATTTGAAACACGATAGGGAGGCCAAAAATCTGAGTTTAGATCAGGGTCTGGATTAGTCCAGGTGGATGTTGGAGAGGGTCTAAATCAGTCCAGTTGTTTTTAAGGGACTAGTTTAATCTGGGTGGATGTTGAAGAGGGTCTAGATTAGTCCAGGTGGATGTTGTAGAGGGCCTAAATCAGTCCAGTTGTTTTTAAGGGACTAGTTTAGTCTGGGTGGATGTTGAAGAGGGTCTAGATTAGTCCAGGTGGATGTTGGAGAGGGTCTAAATCAGTCCAGTTGTTTTTAAGGGACTAGTTTAGTCTGGGTGGATGTTGAAGAGGGTCTAGATTAGTCCAAGTGGATGGTAGAAAGGTTCTAGATTAGTCCAGGGGTTTCAAAGGGTCTAGATTAGTCCAAGTGGATGTTAGTCCAGGACAATGTTGACAGGCTTGCGGATGCAGCACTTGTAATAGGAGGTGTCAATGGTGGTGGAGATGCCCCAATGATCTTCTCCGCTGTAGGTCCAGACTCTGAGACAGCTGGTCAAGATGAGTGTGGTGTGGTGAGGATGAAAGGAGGGATGCTGCTACAGCAAAAAATGACTTGTAAAGTACTGAATCCAAAAAAGGAAGATAAACCGTAGAAAAAGCTATCGTGGCAGTCAGGCTGGAGGTTAGGGAACCAGCCCTGTGACCGGAAGGTTGCCTGTTCGATCCCCTCGGCTGACAGTCCATAACTGAAGTGCCCTTGAGCAAGACACCTAACCCCCAACTGCTCCCTGGGCGCCGTGGATAGGGCTGCCCACCGCTCCGGGCAAGTGTGCTCACTGCCCCCTAGTGTGTGTGTTCACTAGTGTGTGTGTATGTGGGTGTTTGACTGGATGGGTGAAATGCGGAGGTCTAATTCCACAGTATGCAAAACATAGTTGGCTGATGGTTCTGAGTTCAAGTCAAAAGCTTGGACAGCACTCGTATGTTCACAGTGTACTTGTTAAACTCATAGACTGAGCACAGCTCTGTGTTCCTAATCTGTGAGTTTAATAACTATACTGTAAACAGAATCACTGTCCAAAATTTCCCCTTCTTTATTTCTAGATTTTCAGAATCCACAGTCATGCACTGTTTAAGTCAACACGAATCAGTGTCCAGAGCAGAAGGGCAGAGTTTCGGCTATTTCTAAACAAAGTGACCTAATGTTGTTTTAAAATAAAAAAAATTAAATTAGCAGCTCGTAGCTCGGTCATGGGCGTACGCTAAGAATGTCTCATTTGGCCGCCCCAACGTTTTCGCAATATTTATACAGGAGAGCGAGCAGAGTGAGCAGGGGGAGCAGGGGGAGCAGGGGGAGCAGGGGGAGCAGAGTGAGCAGGGGGAGCAGGGGGAGCAGAGCGGTTTGATGTGCCAGTTAGACAGTTGTGTGCGAATGTTTGGGCGTCCTGGTCATATTCCATGTTGATTTTAGTTGATTTTAGTTGCACACATCCTCTTCAGAGAACACACTCTGCACATTTTAATGCACAGTTATTATATATTTGCTGAATTTGACATAATGAGGAAAAAAATGTGGCCTTTGCAAAAGTTATGGTAAACCTTCTAAGTGCTGGAGCAGGAAGGGGACCATCTCGAGACACATTTTAGATCGGCGGATTTAACTCGGACTGTACCTAAAATGGCCTCTTCACGTTTATGTTTAATATTACATATGCAAATTTGTATCTATAGTATAGAAATAACTAGAATTCACTAAACTACAATTAGCAGAAAAAAATGACATTAACTCATTAACATTATGTTAATCGACAAAACGTCATTCGACTGGGGGGGGTATAAACTTTTGTGTACTAATGTATGTCATATCACTTTGCATATCAGAAATCTTTAAATATCACAATAGAATCAGATTATGGATCAAGTTTAGTACAAATACTGTAAACATCAGACACCAAACATGTGGACTACATTTGGAGTGAGGAGAAAATTGTGTGATTTTTAAAAATTTGAATATCATCTTAAATTTAAAGGGCAATGTAAGGATCTTGTGTTGTTTCTGAATACCTCCGTTTGTTTATATATGTTTATATATGTATTTTTTTTGTGCAGCTCTTCGTTGGCTATGCCGGTTTCTGACAGGCGTTTTCTCCAGTCCCCTAGAGGTCACGCTGTGCTCCAACAGGTTAAGGAGTTCATGAGACAGCACGTCCTGCCCACTCAACAGGTCAGTCCAGGTCAACACGCTGAGAGAACTGTTAAACATGCATCACATAGAGATAAACGTGGGACCTGGGGTTGTTAACTCCTGCTGGCTCCACTTGTATTTTTGGGCTGCAAGTTCAAAAAGAGGCCTGCGTGTTGATTTAACCTGAGACGGACCGCCAGGAAAAATGTTTTAAAAGAGTGACCTGAGTAGAAAAATAAGGTGTAGAAGGTGTGAAGTGCTTTGGTGATTCTTTAAACATGTTAATGGCACTTTGCCTTTAGGTAAACAAGGTTGAAGTGGAGATTCAGTTTAAAAAAGACAAATGTCCCATTACGCTAAATCAGGGGTCTCAAGCTCCGGCCTGGAGGGCTGGTGTCCAGCTCGTTTTGGTGGTTTCCCAGTTCAAACGTGCTTATTAAACCTGCTCATTAACTAATGAGTTAAATCTGGTGTGTTTAAGCAGGAAAATCACCAAACTGTGTCGGATTTTGGCCCTCCGGGATCGGATTTCGAGACCCCTTCTCTAAATATACACTCTTAAAAAAGATGCTTTTTCAAGGGTTCTTTAGGAAAGACAGTGGTTCTATACTAACCAAATGTGCCAAATACTAACCGAAATATGCCAATAAGTCATTTAAATAACTGAGTTAAATATGCCAGTAAATCAGTTATATTTGCCAGTAACTCAGTTATATTTGCCAGTAACTCAGTTAAATATGCCAGTAACTCATTTAAATATGCCAGTAACTCAGTTAAATATGCCAGTAACTCAGTTATATTTGCCAGTAACTCAGTTATATTTGCCAGTAACTCAGTTAAATATGCCAGTAACTCATTTAAATATGCCAGTAACTCATTTAAATATGCCAGTAACTGAGTTAAATATGCCAGTAACTCAGTTAAATATGCCAGTAACTGAGTTAAATATGCCAGTAACTCAGTTAAATATGCCAGTAACTCAGTTAAATATACCAATAACTGAGTTAAATATGCCAGTAACTGAGTTATAATTGAGTTATATTTGCCAGTAACTCAGTTAAATATGCCAGTAACTCATTTAAATATGCCAGTAACTCATTTAAATATGCCAGTAACTGAGTTATATATGCCAGTAACTGAGTTATATATGCCAGTAACTGAGTTATATATGCCAGTAACTCAGTTAAATATGCCAGTAACTCAGTTAAATATGCCAGTAACTCAGTTAAATATGCCAGTAACTCAGTTATATTTGCCAGTAACTCAGTTAAATATGCCAGTAACTCAGTTATATTTGCCAGCAACTCAGTTATATTTGCCAGTAACTCAGTTATATTTGCCAGTAACTCAGTTAAATATGCCAGTAACTCAGTTATATTTGCCAGTAACTCAGTTATATTTGCCAGTAACTCAGTTAAATATGCCAGTAACTCAGTTATATTTGCCAGTAACTCAGTTATATTTGCCAGTAACTCAGTTAAATATGCCAGTAACTCAGTTATATTTGCCAGTAACTCAGTTAAATATGCCGGTAACTCAGTTATATTTGCCAGTAACTCAGTTATATTTGCCAGTAACTCAATTAAATATGCCAGTAACTCAGTTATATTTGCCAGCAACTCATTTAAATATTCCAGTAACTCATTTAAATATGCAAGTAAATCATTTAAATATGCCAGTAACTCATTTAAATATGCCAGTAACTCAGTTAAATATGCCAGTAACTCAGTTAAATATGCCAGTAACTCAGTTAAATATGCCAGTAACTCAGTTAAATATGCCAGTGGCGGAGTGAAAGATATCAGTGGCGGAGTGGAATGTCTGTAAACTGTTCATGAACTTTGTGACATTAAATTCTAAATTGCTCAAAAATAGGCACTGAAGCCACACAGCATCTAGGAGGGGCATATCCAGATCATTACACCGCGTTGTTGGGAATTTGTGTAGATACAGAATAAATAAGGCTAATTTTATCCGTGTATTTTCCATCAGCTTCCCTATGAAGTTGCATACATCCCTTCTCAATTGATTCACTTTTGAGCCTGACAAGCCTGAAAAAACACAATAGAGCAGCAGATCTGTTCATGCTCTCTCGGTGAGTCTATTCCCAGGATCAAACACAAAGAACTACTGTCCACATGGCAGAACAGTCCCATAATACAGTGCAGTGTGATGTGTGTCACCGGGCCCTGTTGCTGCCGGCATTAGTCTCATAGCTCCGGTGCAAAACTAAAGATGCAAACTTTGGACACTTAGCCTGTCTTAGTTAATTGACGCTTAATGGAAAACTGTGTAAATTAGATTTTTGGCCAAACATTTTCGACAGTCTTCTTTCAGGCTGTTTCCTTGAACTGCTGAGTCTCAGTTGGCGTAGTGGCAGTTTTATTGTTGTTTCAATCGGATGTTTGAGCTGCCTCCATTTTCTCTTGCCCCTGGCATACTGGCACAGTTTGTACCTCGGCTTCCTGAATTACTTACGCTCTAAAGGAACATTCAGGAAGAGCTTTTCACAGCTATGACTGCTTCCAGAATCCCACAATCCAACAAAGAGGCCCTCAGGGCCAGTTTCAAAGAATGTGCTGTCTTTGTTTCAGCAAATAATGGAGTATTACGCGAAACACACTGATGGCCCTCAGAGATGGCAGACACCTCCTGTGCTAGAGGAGCTAAAGGTAAACACACACAGACACTTGTATTTATACATTTCAGGACAGAGGAGATACATTTAACATACAAACTCAGTTCCAAACAAGTTGGCACAGTAGGTAAAACGCAAATAAAGCATTTGATTTTGTAAATATACAAAGAGATTTTTGTAAATATGTTATTTCCAAATTTGATGCCTCCGACACATTCTGAAAAATTTGGGAACAATGTAAGACTGGGAAGTGTTTGGAATGATCAAAGACACCTGTTTTGGAACATTCCACGTGTAAAGAGGTGAATAGGTAACAACTGATGCTATCTTGATTGGGTATGAAGGGAGCATCCACGAAAGACTCAGGCATTTATGGGTGGGGATGGATTGAGGTTCGCAACGTTGCAAAAAACTGCTGAGTAAATGGTGTCAGACAATTTAAGAACAATGTTTCTCAATACATGATTGCAAGGAATTTCACCATCTATAGTCCATAACATTATTAAAAGAGCCAGAGAGTCTGGAGAAAGCTCTGTGCATAAAGGGCAAGGCTGAAAAACAGTATTGAATGCTCTTGACCTTTGACCCCTCAGAGGGCGCTGCATTAAAAACCGACATGCTTTTTTAATGAATATAAGCACACGGGCTCAGGAATACTTTGGAAAACCCTCATCAGTAAACACAGTTTGTCACTGCATTTACAAATGCATGTTAAATCTGTACTACGCAAAGCAGAAGCCATATATCAGCAACATCCAAAAAACGCTGCTGACTTCTCTGGGTTGGAGCTCATTTGAGATAGACTGAAGTTGAAAAAACCTTACTGTAATATAATACCATGACTGTTAGAGCTAGTCCTTCAATTTGAGCCATAAATATCAAAACAAGAGGAACAAACCCACCTTTATCATACTGCTAATTCCACATAAACATTTTATGGCATGACATTTTTTTGAAGCTTGTGTATTAGCCTGTATTTTACCTTGTGTCACTTTCACAGTGACCCTTTCAGTAGTGAGCTCTGGTGTAGACTTGCTGCAGCTGTTTTCCATTTCTAACATCCCACTGATTTGGCTGCCACTCGTATTCACACAGTGACATATCTGGGACTTCCAGAAGGCAATTCCAGACTGAACAAATTTCCGCTGGTCATTTCAAGAATTTAACCCTTTTTTTAACCCGTTTTCATACAACACTTGAAAACAGCAAAATAAATGTAGTTCTGTAATATGTGCAGGATTTAAATACAAGGATGATTCTATTGAATAAACAAATGAATTAAACATTACAGAGATGTATTCATGTATTTCTTTCCAGAAATCATTAGGCCTTTTCTGAAGACCTAAACGGCCCTGAGGTTTCCCTTCTGACGATATTCCTCTCTGTGTAGTTGTGGACAGGGTCAACAGTTGAATTATGCAGAAAGTTAGAAAACTTGTTGTCCTTTAAAAAATGCATAGTATTACATTTGTCAACAACTGATGTTGATGAAATTGTGTGTAGTGGACTTTAAGTGTTTTCATATGCGCTGCATATTGTAAAAAACTGTGTGTTTGTGTGTGAAGGCAAAAGCTCGTGCTGCAGGCCTGTGGAATCTGTTCCTGCCTGCGGTCAGTGGACTTTCTCAGGTGGACTATTCCTACATCGCTGAGGAAACTGGGCGATGCTTCTTTGCTCCGGAGGTCTTCAACTGCCAGGCCCCAGGTCTGTGTGCACGTTTTAGTGCGGACACTTTTATTTTGTATTCCATAAAAAAAAAAACTAAGAATATTACGTGTTTTCAAAACGTAGTGAGACGTATAATTACTAAAGACTTTTAGAGCTAACGTGTCATATGTAAGGGACGGCAAATGGTCACACGCTTTTTCTAAACCCACTGTGTAATTTCACTGTCAGGATCATTTCTGGGTAGTGTAGTTATTAACTCAGACTCTGTTTATTGTACCGTATGGTCATTGTTTTGGGAGGCTTTAGACAGGAAGACAGCCAGTCTGGGCACCTTTAGCATAAGCAGATTGTGTTCTGAGTGTAACCCATAATAGAAATGAGTATAATGCTAGTGTTCCCTCACTAACTGCACCATGAGAGCAAGCTGTCTAGTTCTGGAGGCTCTCAGTGTTGCACAGTTGTGAGTTTGTCCTGCTTCAGGTAGAAAATTAAGTGATGAGTTGAGTTAATTGAAGATTGGATGATTAGTTCTGGATCACTCCAATACTCCATCACTCCATCACTCCAGAGAGTGCAGCTCCACTGTCCACAGCCCAGTGGTGACCTTAGGCCAGTGGTCTCCAGTGCTGGTCCTGGAGAGCTACCATCCTGCAGAGCCTGGTTCCATCCACAGTTTGCCACACCTGCTCCAGCTAATCAACCCCTTCCCAAGTCCCTGATTGGCTGGATCAGACGTATTAGAGTTAAATAAGGGGCGGGGCAGCTTATTGGACACAGGTTGGAACTAGCCCTGCAGGAGGGCAGCTCTCCAGGACCAGGGTTGGAGACCACTGGCTCATGTGCTTCAGCTCCACCATTTTTTCTAAATTTCTGCTCAATTAAATGGTTGATCTTCAAAGGTACTTTAGAGAGGTTTGACGTTAAAATGTTCTTTTCTAGAGAAACTTACAGAGCTGGAATTGTTTGTGGTGGTGATGGGAACCAGACGTCTGAAGACTTTAATGCCTCTAAAAGCTACATCACAGGAAGTTATTACATGGAATACTTTACACTTTCTGACACCCGAGACATTGTTTTTTGGTAGTTTTGAGAGGTTTTGGCCTAAAAACATACTTTAAAATACGTTCTTGATGGAGAGGCGCGTGCAGAATGTTGTGAGGCAAAATAGCTAATGACGAAATCTTAGTTTTTCAGATTTACCGCTATTTTGCTGTTATAAACAGTCCATATAAAACTCGTGTAGGTTCACTGGTGGTGTAAATAAATAGTAAACAGTAAATAAAATGTCTATATTTGTGTTGTAGTCATGGTGACCCCTGGTTCCTATCACCACCACTGTAAAGACATCTGAACCATTTCACACCAAACCACTCTGAATGACTTTGTCTACATTGCAGTGAATGAACGCCGTTATGCAGTTATCTTCTGAAGAATTGGTTGAATTGTCCAAATTCATTATTGAGTGTGTGGCTGTTTAAGGTTAGTTCAATCTTTGCAGGTATTTTTCATAACACTTTGGAGATATTTCAGAAGTTCAAACATTACTTCAGGTATTTCAAAAGAAGACAAGGCAGTCCCAAACTTTTGATGAGCAGTGTACTTCTGAGAATTTTTTTTTTCTTTCCATTTACCATAAATTGCATTTAATATTGAAATAATTTCCTTTTTAAACTCTCTGCACCGACAGCCAGAAACAGAAGCAAGTGGAAAAAATCAGCAACAGGCTGGAAACCACCAGCATTTTTGAATATGGTTTTATGTCAAGATGAGTAAGAGTTTACTGAGAGGTTCTGACTCTTGAGTTTCAATATTTCCACTGTAACTGTGGTGAAAGGCAGCTGGCCGGGTTCTGGAGGGGGATGCGCTTGATTTCATTCCACTGAATTCCTTTGTCTAAATACTTTTCAACCTGGGTCAAACTTGCAATATGTGAACTTTCAGGAAAACTGATCGGACAGTCTTCACAAAGTATGTTTCTCCATCTGTGTAGAAGGTTTGGCTTCCTGGGCTCATGTGTGTGAGTCGAGGTGGGTGTGTGTGGGCAGTGGGTGTTTGACTGACAGCGGTGTTGCTGCTGGTAACTGTGCTGCAGACTCGGGGAACATGGAGGTGCTGCATCTGTATGGATCTGAAGAGCAGAAGAGGCAGTGGCTGGAGCCGTTACTGAGAGGAGAGATACGGTCCTGCTTCTGCATGACTGGTAACACACAAGCACTCAAACTCCCATACACACTGAGTGTTTTTCCACCAGGCAGTGCAGAACAGTACGGTTACTAATCCAGGCCCAAAACTGTCCCTGATCGAGGAGCTGTGTCCATTTTCCATCACACAGTGGTGCCCATGAATGTAGGCAGGGTTCTCTGGCCATCACACAACAAAACCTGTTTGTCTGGAGTTGCATGGTGGCAAAAATGTGTCAGATTGCATAATGATTGACAGTGGCCTCTCCCTGGCAATATAGAAAACTGGCACCAGTGTGGTTTAGTCCTGCACATCCTCAGAAAGATCGCTCAGTTTGCTCTTCTCTGACAATTTTGAAATGGTTAATAAAACAGTTATTAAAGTCTAATAGTCATTTAAGAGGTGTAATTACATTTTACAGATATTGTGGAGAATCAGGCTTTTATCTTTCAAGTAGATTAACTGTTAGCATTGATTTTGTGGGTGGTAGTTAACATAACACTAAGCTAACAGATCACTTTATTCCCACAGTTAAGGTGGACCGCTAGCTGTCGTGCTGTGGTAAATTAAGTTTTAGAAAAATAATAAAGTGAATGACTAATGCAGAAAGGAAGTAGCGTCTGGCTGCGCTTACGATTTAGAAAAGCTTAAATAAGCTTTGGTCTGTGACTCAGAGCTGCAGGAGAGAGAGGAACGCGATGTTTACATACTGATAACTTTGAATAGTACTTTGGCAGATCTGACTTCAACCCAACTCGAACTGAAGAAAACAGCAGAAAAAAATAATTCATTAATAAAATCTCTCAACAGAAAGACCAACGTTATTATTTCTCTGCCTGTTCCTAGAAAAACATCTCAGAAGCATGCGGCTCTTTTACTGCCCTGTTTCGGCTCCACAGCTGAATCAGATTTGTAGGTAAAAATAAAATAATCCTCCTTTACAGTAAAATAAAGCTCTGCTGATCGTTCAACACAGTTTAACAATAAATGGTCTTAAACTCTGGAGTTAATGTAGAACTGCTGATTCACCCTTTAACCCTGAAGATCAGCGCAGACTGCTGGTCACCATAGCAACACAGACAACAGTCTCGCCTAGCTAGTAGCTACGAAACGGCAAAGAGAGAGATTTAAGATGAACATCGATAATTTAGAGACGAATGGACTCATTTGTGTTTATAATCACTCCAGCTGGTTTCCTGATACGTTTAATCTGCAGTGAGAAACTCAAACACTAAAAAGTCGCAAAGCTGAAGATTCTTGTTCGAATTCTGCCCCCAGGCATCATTTAAGGTGGAACAGAAAAATTTGAACAAGAAGCTGAAGAACAAGAAGCAACTTCAGCCTCATTAAAAGTCAAACGTTAAGAGACATTTTACAAGAAACTGTTCTACTTTTGAGGAAAAGTTTCCTGCCAGAGATGCGAGAAAAGCAGCTGTAGCTGAGCTAAAGCTTAAAGCAGAACAAAAGAAAGTCTGTGTTTTGATTTATACTGAATTTGTTATCCTATACTAGCACATCAGCACAGACTGAGACATATTTACAGCCAAAATGGTAAAATGGGCATAAAATGGCTCTCAAGGTGGTTTGATTTTTATTAGAAGGACAAAATGGCTCTTCTTAACATTTGGGTGGTGACCCCTGTTATAGATAAAAGAAAATCATGAAAATGAGTAGACGGGGCTTTAAGAACAGTGTGGTTCAGTATGGCAACCAAAATGATGACAAAACGCTTGATTAAAGCAGCATTATGTGTGAATTGGTATTTTATGCTCTCAGGCTCCCCCCAGCCGCTAGAATTCTCTCTCGGTCTTACAAATCAGCCCAATTCTGCATCAGTTACACTGGTCACCTGTCCTGCTTTGTATCCCAGTTTAAAGTCTTCTTGCTAACTTACAAATCTCTACATGGTCCAGCACCAGCTTACTTAGCCGAGCTCCTGCAGCCTCACTGCCCTTCCCGTACACTTGGGTCCTCTGACTCAGGTCATTTAGCTGTCCCAAAATTTAGATTGACCACGGTCAGAGGCGGATCTTTCTTGAACGCATTACCACAATCTCTCCGTGACTGTCAGTCACTTTTCTCCGTTAAAGCTCAGCTTAAAACCAGCCTCTTTTCTCCGCAGTTTCACTTTTCTCCTTCCTGATATGTTTTTTTGCCTATGTAAAGCGACCTTGGGTCTGAGAAAGGCGCTATATAAGTTGAATATAAGGTACAGCCTACAACGCAGTCTTTATAAACAACGCTGGTAGGGATGAACACTCTGCTGTCAGATTATCGCTGTCGTCCCGTTAGCCGTGAATCTGTCCCGCATCCTTTTATCTCTTTTAGCTCTCACCAGCGAGTAAAAGCCAGTCTGAGATTTACTCTTGTCCAGTCTCTCGCTCGGTCACTCTCTCTTTTTCTCTTCCCTGCTTCCTTTGATAGCGTCTTCTTTGGCCTCTCCTCAGCCTCTGCCGTGATGTCCATGCTAGGAATACCGAGCTGCTTCTTCTTATAGCTGCTGAGTTGTTGGTGTGACGTGGTGCCGTAAAGCGTTACGCAGTTCTGGCGAGAGGTTCTCGTGCTGCTCCTCCAAAGTTACATAGCGCTATAGCAGACGTTCCAGCCCAGCAGAGACGCCGCGCTCACTATTATAAGTCAGTGTAGCATCACGATGATATTTGAAGCTGTTATTTTAAGGTGAAATTGTTGCTTTAAGGATTTGTAACCTTACTGTACTCTACTGCACTGCCTTGCCTGGTTGAAAACCACATGCAGTTGTACATGGAACCTAAAAGTCACTCTCAAATGTACACATATAATGCAAAACGCAAAACATATTACAAAGGAAAAGTGCATTTCAGCTTGGGATTTGTTTTGTTGTGCCTATTGGCTGCTTTGCTCTGTCAGCAAGATGAAAATGTGCCCAAACCTCACATTAAGACCCCATTTCCACATAAAAGAACTTTCATTTATGAATTCATGCACCGTAGCCTACACAAGTCAAATTACAGCAGAATCCATTTGTTCGTCTTCTAAGCCGCTTACCGAACAATAATTTGTGCCAGCCTAACACACACAGACATAAACACGGGTCCCTCTGTTTCCCCCTCTTAAATAGCTCAGTCTGAATGCTTAAGCAGTGGCACTTATTCACAACTCGTTCTTCATCCAAGCACATCCATCAGAAACGTGTGCAGAAGCCTGTTCTCTCAGAGTTCTGGCCCTTATCCAGAACATCTGATCCAGCTAATCGGGGTCTTCAAACAGCATCTGGATATTGGAGCCAGATGTTTTAGATTAGAGCAGGAACTAAACTCTGCAGGGGGTTAGATATCTGGGATTTTGCACTGCTTGTCTGGGAGCTTGACAAGCAGCTGAGACAGAACACAGGATTTAAAAAATATTACACAGCACAACATCTGAAATGTCCTTTCATGAGAGCTCGACTAACTTGTTTTAGTTAAGCTGTGAATGTTTTTGCACTTTCGCCAAGCTTTCATCACTGAGACAAAGACAAAAATCAGACTGCAGACTCGAACCTGTCAGTGCAGAAAGTAGATGATGAATGAATTTCCTATTAAAACGGCCATTAAATATTTTTGTGATATTTGTGAGGATATTAGATATAAGATTGTCCCTTTGCATAAGGAAGAAGAAAAACAAGTGGAAAAAAATAGGAGTTTCCAAAACTGGAGTTCAAAGATGGATTAAAATCTACAGAGAAAATGTGGCTCCTCACAACCATCTGGAAGAGCTGGTCGACACCAAAACTGCCCCCATCAGATAAACAGCACTTAAAGCTTTCATCTCTGAGAGAGAGGAGAAAATCGAGCTGCTTCAGATCTGAAAACATCCACAGGTGTTTCTGTCCATCCTTCCACTGAACGATGGACTGACCACCCCAGAGTCCAGACCTCAACGCCACTGAATGTGTTTGATTACTTCAGAAAATCATCAACCAGCTTCTAAGACTGAACTTTGGAGGTGCGTCTGGAATGGAAGGTGGAATAAAGGCTGTTAAGTGTTTTAATATGTGTTGAAAGTGAAAGACTTTTACCTAACAAGTGTTTTGACTGGAAATTAAGTAAATGCTGAGTGACCTCTGCTGTACCTAAGCTTCTGGACTGAACTCCAATCTTAACTCCAGCTGAATATTTTGTCTGTTTTAGCTTTTCTAGGTGAAAGCTAAATTTTCGGTCATGGGAATCAGCTAAATATCCACTAAGATGCAAAAAAATGTTCACGTTTGGTTCCCACAAAGTCAGTAAAACAATATGAACACACACACACACACACACATGCACCCTCAGTCCCTCAGTCCTCAGCGTGTCCCGTGAGGCAGAGATGGATTTGAGTTTAGGAGACAATGAGTATATGTGTGTGGAGAGACCGATGCTGGACAAATGGCCAGTGGAGAGCAGCTGAGGGGAGAGAGAATGAGTCACTTCCTCTCTGCTCTGCTGACTGCCAGCGGGCGACAAGTGTGTGTGTGTGTGTGTGTGTGTGTGTGTGTGTGTGTGTGTGTGTGTGTGTGTGTGTGTTGGTTAATAAAAATTCATTCCTGTCTTTGAATATATACAGATGGTGTCTAATTGCTCCACAGCTTTCTGACCCATTAATGTACAGTACTGTTCAAAAGTCATTTATTTTATTTATTTATTCATTTTTCACATTCAAGGAAAAAAATCAGCAAAATATATTTAGCAGAGGATAACACAGAAGCCTCGTCACAGACTGCCATCCAAGCGTTCCCACACAATTCCGCTGTGTGTGTGACATTGAGGTCTGGACTCTGGGGTGGTCAGTCCATTGCTCTGAAAACACCATCAGCTTCTTTGATTCATTTGCAAGTTGTTTTCTATTTTGCCTGTTTCCTTTTCTCAGTAACAGCTTCTTGACAGCTGCACATCCTCTCAGACCCACAGAGTTGAGTTGTCTTCTCACAGTGGAAGGAAACACCTGTGGATTTTGTCCGGCGGTCAGAGTTGTGGTGTCCTGAATAATGATCAACTTGTACTGAGAGGCTGTTTTGACTGGAAATGAAAGAAATGAAGAGTTCTGTCTGACTTTTGGACAGTAGTTTTTTTAGTGCATGTCTGTGTGTGTATGGGACCCCCGTGGACCCTCACAGAGCAGGTACTGTTTGGGTGGTGGATCATTCTCAGCACTGCAGTAACACTGACGTGGTGGTGGTGTGTTACTGTGTGTTGTGCTGGTCTGAGTGGATCAGATGCAGCAGTACTGCTGGAGTTTTAAACACTGTGTCCACTCACTGCCCACTCTATTAGACACTCCTACCTTGTCAGTCCACCTTGTAGATGTGAAGTCAGAGACGATAGCTCATCTGCTGCTGCACAGTTTGTGTTGGTCATCCTCTAGTCTTTCATCAGTGGTCACAGGACGCTGCCCACAGGACACTGTTGGCTGGATATTTTTGGTTGGTGGACTATTCTCAGTCCAGCAGTGACACTGAGGTGTTTAAAAACTCCAGCAGCACTGCTGTGTCTGATCCACTCAGACCAGCACAACACACACTAACACAACACCACCACGTCAGTGTTACTGCAGTGCTGAGAATGATCCACCACCCAAATAGTACCTGCTCTGTGAGGGTCCATGGGGGTCCTGACCACTGAAGAACAGGGTAAAAGGGGGCTAACAAAGTATCAGAGAAACAGATGGACTACAGTCTGTAACTGTAGAACTACAGAGTCAAACTATGTGGTCAGTGGAGCTGATAAAGTGGACAATGAGATTTAAAACCAAGACTTTTTAGTTGCATCTGAGACCAGGTTAAGATTCTTTTTTTAGAATATAAAAGTAAAATGAAGAAAAGGAGTAGAAAAGTGAAATTTGTTTGTTGTCTCATTATCATTCACTGCACATTATACATATTAATAAATCATGTTTAACTTATATTTTGTAAAATATAACATTTACATAATATATAGCCTAAAATATTATTAATTATTCATATATTATAGTCTTTGTCCAACTTACTATAACTTGGGAGCAGATGATTTTTCTGTAAAACCAATTCAAAATCTCTGCCTACCAAATAAATATAAACCAAACAGCATGTTTATTATTGAATAAAAACACAGTAATAATAACATTCCAGTCTTTCCCTTTAGGGGACATTTGAATTTGGGAACCAAAGAACACCAACAAACAAATAATACTAAAAATAGTTAATCCATCGTGGCCTACCTCGGACAGAGACGTCACACTCGGCCGGTCTCAGAACACTTTCTCCACCTTACCCCTGAGACTAAGACCGAGACCAAATGAAGTCGAGACAAGAATGAGAACTGAATGATATTGAAACAAGACCGAGACCAAATGATGCGACCAAACGGTCACGTCTGTATGTTTTAGACCGAGGAGGTGCTGCGTCATGGCAGCTGTGTGGAAAAAACAAATTTTTTCCCATCAGATCCAGAAAAAAGCGAGGATAAATGCACTTTTGGCTTTTTTGGCTGGGTTTCAAACAGAGAGAGGACTCAACGCAGCTGCACAATCCTCCCATTCATTCACTCCCATCCACCAGCTCAACCTCTTCAACCCCAAACACAGAAGGAACGGAGTATTCACCATCATTCACCTCCTACAAACTCACAACAACGGTTGGAGTTTAATGTGTCGAAGTGTAACTGCGCATTAACATTTTCAGAGTCGACTCTGAAGCGACTTCTCTGACGCTGGAGGCGATTTAGGAGAGAGACTGCAGCTGCCGTATGAGAGGAAACGCCCAATGGAGACAAAATGAATTCACCTCTGAATATTTCAGGGAACTTTGCAGAGCTGAGCCAAACATTTCGTAATGTTTTCAAGCAAGATCTCTCACTGTCAGATAAAGCAGCGCTTTTCACGGCAGCCGATCAGCAGCAAGAGACCGACTCTTTTGTTAACCACAGAAATCGTAGATCTTTACGAAGTTGCGAAGCTAAATGACCCGCAGTAGATTAGAGATGAAGGCCGTGGACATACAGGCAGCGCTGATAAAGACATGCCCCCAGCAGCAGTTATAGTCCAAATGAAGGAATTAGGCTTTATACACACTTCAAACAAATGGTCTTTAAGTGTTCTTTAGTAAAGAAAATGGTTCTATATAAAACCATGAACACTCAAAGAACCCTTTGTATCATTACGGGTTCTTTGCATGGTGAAATGCTTCTTCAGATTGATGGAGAACGTGCTGCAGATGAAAAGGGTTCTATATAGCACCAAAAAGGGTTCTTTTATTATTACAAGCTTGACATCATAACAATAGCAGAACCCTTGGTGCTATATTCAACCATTTTATATAGAGCCATCTACAGCACAGTCTCCATCAATCTGAAGAACCAGTTTGTGATGCGAAGAACCCTTTAATCCTGCGAAGGGTTTTTTGAGTGTTCATGGTTCCGTATAGAACCATTTTCTTTAAAGAACAATTTAAGTGTGTATAAAGCCTAATTCCTACATCTCCCAGAGTCCACTTGGACTATAACTGCTGCTGGGGGCATGTCTTTATCAGCGCTGTCTGCATGTCCACATCTCAAATCTACTGCGGGTCATTTAGCTTCGCAACTTCGTAAAGATCTGCGATTTCTGAGGTTAACAAAAGAGTCGGTCTCTTGCTGCTGAACGGCCGCCGTGAAAAGCTGCACTGCAAAATGTCCTGTTTTTGCTCAAGACTACTTCACAGTGCGACTGCTGCCCTTTGTGCTTAGCCTGGTATATTCAGATCAGCAGATAAGTACCAAATATGTGCTAAACAGGCCCTCAGGGCAGCGATTTGAGCCGTTTTTCAGTGCTGTGTGTCAGTGTGAGCGTATGAGGTGATCATAAGTGTCAGAAGTGAACGGTGCAGCAGCTCTCGTTTCCTCTTGTGGTCACTCCATCTGCCCTGTTATCTTCCTCCTTCAGAGCCAGATGTTGCGTCCAGTGATGCCACCAACATGCAGTGCACGCTTCAAAAGGACAACGACCATTACATCGTCAACGGCAAGAAGTGGTGGAGCAGTGGTGAGTGCTTGTGCTTGTTTTCTTTTTGAGTAAACCTCATTATCTCAAACCTGCTCCACAATCTGAGACATTAGTTGACCCTAGCACTGACCTAGGGTGACCAGGTCAGAGCTGTTGCAGGACAGTTTGGCAAGGTGGCATGTTCAGGTTGAGGGAGTGTGTGTGTGGGGGGGTGTTGTGCTTTTGTGTGTATGTGCATGTTTGTGCCAGCCAAAACAAAGTTCATGTGCAAGACAGTAACTATTTACAGTATAGATGCATTTAGTACAGATTTATATGGTGAACCATCCGTACAACCCTCTGACCACTGAACCAGCTTCAAAAAACAGTTAAATACATTTATTAATTATTTGTTTTTGATCAACTGTGATTGGAAAAAACTATTTTAGCCAGGTAACCATTAACCAACAAATAGGCAATTGTTTGACCACAGTTATTGTTGAAAAAACTGCCCAGTTCTGAACACAATAAACATCAGTTCCTATTTTTTTAAATGTGTGCATGATAAGCATTCAGATACGCCAGCTGTGGTGTCCGTGACTAGTTATTGAGAGGCCAGTAGCACAGCTATATGCACCGATGTATCGAAAGCAGACTTGTGCAAACAGATGTTTTGTCCTTGTTCTCTGAGAGAAACTGGTGCATGACATTGTGAGGCAATCACACTTGGGTGAGTAGAGTTCTAGAAGGACGTAGCGGACGGCAAAGCTATCCCCCACAGTGGCATCGGTGGCAACAAGGGCATATTTGTACACGTTTGGCAGACTGAAAATACTGAACTGTATAGTAAACGGGTGCTGAGGCGATAAGCTGGGTGATTGCATGTCTGAAACGTAAGTATAACCACTAGTTTCAGACCGAGTGGTAAGACTACATAAATATATATATACACTGATCAGGCATAACATTCTGACCACCTCCTTGTTTCTACGCTCATTGTCCATTTTATCAGCTCCACTTACTATATAGGTGCACTTTGTAGTTCTACAGTTACAGACTGTAGTCCATCTGTTTCTCTGATACTTTGTTAGCCCCCTTTTACCCTGTTCTTCAGTGGTCAGGACCCCCATGGACCCTCACAGAGCAGGTACTATTTGGGTGGTGGATCATTCTCAGCACTGCAGTAACACTGACGTGGTGGTGGGACAATGAGCATAGAAACAAGAAGGTGGTCATAATGTTATGCCTGATCAGTGTGTGTGTATATATATATATATATATATATATGTATACAGTTACTGAGCTCCAATTATGCAGAAAACCAAACATCGCAAAAATGAAGATACTTAGTTTTTTTTTTTGGACAGCGATGATATATATTAGTCAACTGCTCAGTAAACATTAGTTGCTAAATAAATAATAAGTAATAAAGTGAATACACTGTTAATTAGTACTTGAGGACACTGTCATTACTTCACAGCTTATTTACTCATTAACTGTGTATTAACTGCTGCTTATTAGCGCTGATGACCTGACGTGTGTTTACTCCTATAAGTAACATGAGAACTAACAAGTACTTATGTGTTAATCCTGTTAATTATCTCCTAATTAATCTACTAATCCATTGTAATTAATTAATTACCACTTTTTGTCCTGCAAAGTGATTATTCTCACCACTAATTACAATATGAACTCATTAAGACCTGACTAGTTACTAAAATCTCAGTTTCTTTCTGCTTGTTTTTGTGTCCCCTAAAGTAAAGAGGAAAATATACATACATCATTAATTAACGTTTATTCTAAATTTAACCTACAAAAAAAAAAAAAAGAGTTTTTAACTAAATGAGACGTCCGTCATACTTGCACATTTCATCAGTCACAGGTTGTTAAGGCATCCAAGACTGGTTTCCATGGTATCAAAAAGATTCCTTTTGGCACCTTAAAATGTAAAAACATTAGGACAGATAATGTCAAATTATGCATGTTTTATTGCTATTCTTATAAAGACGACTGTCTACATGTGTCTGTGAATAAGCAGCCTGTGTTTTAGGCCTGACCTGTATTTCCAGTTGGATTCCACTGTGATTCAAGTGTGTAAAGATTGCTTTTATTCATGAATTAATAGTATAACTGGTATAATAAGTATAGTATGAAGGACTATGATTGTCACTTTATTTGGAGGCACACATGAAGCAGTAATTCAGGGTTCACATGAAGTACTTAGTTCTCATGTTCCTTATTTATATGAGGAAACACACTAATCAGTTCATTAGCGGAGTAGTACACGGCACAGTTAATGAGTAAATAAGCTGTGAACTAAGGACAGACTAAACTATGAGTGAACAGTGTACCCAGTTACTAATTACTAAGTATATGATCAGTATCTAATGCTTAATGAGCAGCTAATGTAGAAATACTGAGTATTTGAATTAATTATCAACGTATAATTGTCAATTAATTTGCAACCTTTAATGTGAAGTGTTGCTGACAGAGCTATAGTCTCTTGCGAAAACAGTCTTTAAAAGAAGACTGATCTATTGGAACTTTACCCAATTTGCTAATGTGGTGAGAACATCTGGCTCTGACTATATGTATGTGAACACACCCATCTACACATGTATGTACTTCTGTGGACCAGATGTTCTCCCAGTCATACCAAATGGAAGAAGTAGGTAAGGTAAAGTACTAACATGTATCTGTAGAATAATAATAACATAGTAATGCTAGTACAATACTGAAGTATGATAATACCAGTTTAGTGTTATAGTAATACAACAGTGAGAGACACTGATAAACAATGTAAGAGAAAGTATCATTAAAAATATATTTTTTTTTATCAAGGTCCTAGTAAGTCATAGTGAACCATAGCGTTTGGTTACTTGTTTACACATGCAGAATACTGAACCCCTTTCATATGGACAAGCTAAAAGCTTCATATCTGGGAATCATCTGGCTTTACCAATTTGTTCCTCTTTAACACTAAAGATATATATCATCAGAACGATCCACCCCATAAAGCATCTTCTGTTTGACAGAAACCGAGTGATGTCTCGCATGACTTTTAAACAAAGCTCTTTAAAATGTTTACCCAAACCAGCGCCGCACAATCTGTAGACAATAAACATAGACTCTTCGCTAGAGGAGATACAAAGCGGCTCACGACGGGTGGCAAAGCCGAAACAGACCCGGTGCCTAAAGTTGCTCTTTCGGTATGAGCTGGGGATGCAGAGTGGAGCCAGGAGGAGGGAGAGAAACAAGTCTGCGACATCGCATCTCCTGCGGTGTGGGGAAATGTCACATGTGCGTGTTTACTGTCTCACTGCTCAGTAGAGCTGCGCTGTAGATCAGTTGTTGTGAACATGATGTTGGCCTTTGAGATACGGACATTGCCAAAGCCTGCAATGTGCAAATGAGCCCCCTGACTAGTCATAATAATGCTGTTCATTGTGTGATGTCAGCATGCTGTCCTGCCGCAGACATCCCTTGATGAGTGTTCTGGGTTTGTGTTGATAAGCTTGCATGTGAATACCCTATATGGCCAAAAGTATGTGGACACCCCTTCTAATGATTGAGCTCAGGTGTTCCATTAACACACAAGCCTAAGATCACTATGCGCAATGCCAAGCGTCAGCTGGAGTGGCGTAAAGCACACTGGACTCCAGTGGAAACGTGTGGAGTAATGAATCACGCTTCTCTATCTGTCAGTCTGATAGATGAGTCTGGGTTTGGTGGATGTCAGGAGAACGTTACCTACCAGAATGCAGAGCCAACAGTAAAGTTTGGTGGAGGAGGAATAATGAGCTGGGGCTGTTTTTCAGGGTACAAAGACATTTTACACAATTATAGGCAACAGTTTGGGGAAGAGCCTTTCCTGTTCCAGCATGACTGAGCTCCATAAAGACATGGAGTGACCAGTTTGGTGTGGAGGAACTCCAGTGGCCCTCACAGAGCCCTGACCTCAACCAAACGGAACACCTTTGGGATGAACTAGAACGGCAATTGTGAGCCAGACCCTCTCATCCAACATCAGTGTCTGACCTCACAAATGCTCTTCTGGATGAATGGGCAGAAATTCCCACAGACTCTCTCCAACATCCTGTAGAAAGATTCCCAGAAGAGCGGAAGCTGTTAGAGCTGCAACTAATATGGCCCAACTCCATATTAATGCCCATGGTATTGGAATGGGACGTCCAACAAGCTCATATAGGTGTGATGGTCAGGTGTCCACATACTTTTAGTATGTAAAAATGCGAACACCGTGTCAAAGGACATCTTTTGTTGATTTTCTAAGTGAAAGAAAGAACACCTCCTGTACAGAGAACACACTTCTGCACATGTTAATGCTCAGTTACTGTTTATTTGCTGAATGTAATATGGGGGCTGTATAAAGTGCCGTAATTTATACAGGGGAAAGCTAAACTGTATGAATGTATCCTTTATTAAAAGCTGAGAATGGGCACTTAAACCACTTGGGAATGGTTTGAGTACAGATTTAAAGCTGTGGAGTGCAGAGGAATAATTTCTCTGGCTTAAATCACTTCTCTGACTGTAAAATGTTTACTCCTGGTGTAAATCCACTTTGAGTCACGATCAACCTTCATACTGAACTTTGTTTTTTTTTTTCTCTTCCTTTTGTTTTCGATTTGACGTCAAACCAGCTTTTCCAACAAGGCCGCAAAGTTTTTAACAGGCGCTTCATCTGAATTATGTTGCTGTGTGGGTCGTGTTTTGTAACAGCCGGACCGTATAATCGCCTTTCTTGTTACGGAACGGCGTCTCAGTTGACGTTGCTGGGAATGATAACAACATTCTGATGTATTAAGCGTCTTCTTGTTTATCATGACGGTTGCCTCAGGTTATTTTCTGTGATGTTTGGAGATGTTTTGGAATTTGCCTCCTTGTCTTTGTCCCCAGCAGAGCGCTCCGGTTGGTTCTGGCTGCAGGCCTTTGTGGTTTGAGGGCTTCAGATTTTTTTTTCCTCTCAGCGCACAAGGAAGACCAAAGGCCTCTTGTATTGGGCTTTGGCACGAAACCCCATTAACTCTTTTAACACTTTGGGA